AACTATAGGGGCCCCTGGGTGGCTTTGGCTCAGGTCGTGATCCCAGGGTCCTGGGATCGAGCCCCGCATCAGGCTCCCTGTTCGGCGGGAGGCCTGCTCCTCCCTCTCCCATTCCCCCTGCTTGTGTTCCCTCTCTTGCTGTCTCTCTCTCTGTCAAATAATAAATAAAATCTTAAAGCAAAAATCACAACTATATGAACATTATCCAAGTATGTATACTTTGTTGTTGAGATTTTAAATTGCCTTGGTATATAATGTATAACTTAATGAATTCTTAGCCTTAGTGTGATCAATCACTCTGGCCAGGAGACATAATTGGCTTCAACTTGTCCTTCAGACTCATAAACCCATTTGTAAATATTCTCTGTGTATATTTGTTACGTATGTTTAATATGTGTGTGTTAACCATAGTATTAAGGGTGAAGTTGGCAGAAATTGCTCCTTTCAGTGCTGTCACTCATGCCAGTGGCCAGGTGCAGCTGAGGGCTGTCTACGCACAAGCTTTTGCAGAGATGCAGTATACTATGCTGATGGAGAGCAAGCTCTTCTTGCCACTTATTTGCAACTTATTTGTAAATTCGGGCAAGTTATGTAACCTCTCTGCACCTCACTTTTCTCATCTGCAAAACAAAGATAAGGACAGCATCTAGCTCAAAGGCTTGTGGAATAAATCAGAAGAGTTAATAAATATAAAGCATTTAGAATAATCCTTGGTGCATGCTATCTTTAATCCTTCCAGAAGCCAGTGAGAGAGATTATTCCATTTTACCTAGACGAGTCAGACTCCAAGAGGGTCAGCAATTTGCCGACTGCAGTGAACTGTTCCCGTGCCGAAGCACTGAACCAAATGTTACCCTGACCCCCGCCTTTTTTTAAAAAGATTTTATTTATTTATTTGACAGACAGAGATCACAAGTAGGCAGAGAGGCAGGCAGAGAGAGAGGAAGGGAAGCAGGCTCCCTGCTGAGCAGAGAGCCCCATGCGGGGCTCGATCCCAGGACCCTTGGGATCATGACCTGAGCCAAAGGCAGAGGCTTTAACCCACTGAGCCACCCAGGAACCTCTACCTGACCCTTCTGTATTGCTCTTCAGTTTTAGAATAAGCTACACTGTCAGTTGGTGATTAGAATTTATTTATTCAAGTTTTTAAAATAGATTTGTTAAAATGCACTAGAACTATGTTTCTTCTTTGGAGATGTTTATAAGGGAAACTCTAGACTAGAAGTCAAGAGATGTACCTAGTTAGAATTTTGAGCAGATAATGTTTCTGCCCTGGTTCTTCAGATCTTTGAATTAAGGGTTTAGAGTGATGATTTTGAAAAGCTCTTCCATCTCAAATTCTGTGATTCATACTTATTGAAGTACTATTTTAAGCAGGAGAAATTGGTTTTTTTGCAGAAACAGTAACAGTCAGCTCTGAAAATTTTTGAACAGAAGCACTATAAGTAAAATAAAAATGTTTAATGATATATTTAAGTATTTAAATATATCCTACTTTGGAGGCACCTGGCTGGCTTAGTTGGTGGAGCATGTGACTCTTGATCTTGGATTTGTAAGTTTGAGTCTCATACTGGGTATAGAGATTACTTAAAATAAAATCTTTAAAAATAATAATAGGGTGCCTGGGTGGCTCAGGGGGTTAAGCATTTGCCTTCAGCTGGGCTCATGATCCCAGTATCCTGGGATTGAGCCCCACTTTGCCATTGGGGCTCCCGGTTCTACTGGGAGTCTGTTTCTCTCTATCCCTCTGCTCCTCCCCCAGCTCATGCGCACAGGTCCTCTCACTCAAATTAAAAAAAATATATATATATAAAAAAATAAAGTAGCACATGTATATACCTATACCTATACATATATACACAAATACACACACACACACACACATATATATATATATATATATATTTTTTTTTTTTTTGGTTAAGATTTTCTTTTTAAGGGGAACCTGGGTAGCTTAGTCATTAAGCATCTACCTTTGGCTCAGGTCACAATCCCAGGGTCCTGGGATCGAGCCCCGTGTTGGGCTTCCTGCTCAGCAGGAAGCCTGTTTCTTCCTCTCCCATTCCCCCTGCTTGTGTCCCCTCTCTCGCTGTATCTCTCTCTGTCAAATAAATAAATAAATCTTAAAAAAATATTTCTTTTTAATAATCTCTACACCAAATGTGGGGCCCAAACTCATAACCCCAATATTAAGAGTCGCATGCTCTAATGATCAAGCCAGCCAGGTGCCCCCTTACTTTGTATATCATAAATAAATAGATATATCTGGGCACCTCACTGGCTCAGTAGGTAGAGTGTGTGACTCTTGATCTTGGGGTCCTATGTTCAAGCCCCATGTTGGGTGTAGAACTTTATTTATACTTAAATAAATGAAAATAAAAATAGATGTGTAATTAACATTATGGTATACTTTCCCTAATTGTTGGAAATGTGCCCGTTATATGACCTTGAAATTTTGTAAGATATTACTTTCTTTGTGAGAGAAAGCTACACTTAACAATCTCTTTCATTTAACAAGGTCTTTATTTACCTTGTGAATCTCCTTTCAGTGCAAACATATGCTCAGAGAAGAGATTAATTTAAGCGTCTTTTCAGTAATGACAGAGATCAGGAAGTTGCTGCCTAAACTGTTTTCCAAAGGATAAACATTACAAAGCGTTAAATATGGCAGCTCACCAGAAGATCCTATTGGTTTGGGGGTAAATAATTCTAAAAGTTATCTTTTGCTTAGAACGTCCTGTGAGTGCTCTTCAGAAGGAAAATATGGCTGTCTGAAGATATCAGCTAAGAATCCAATCAGTGTTAAGTAAAGCCAATCCATTTATAGCATCTGCTGTTTTTGGTGACCTAGATCTATGGATGGCACCTGTCCTTAGTTTGATAGTAATGTTGAAAAATGTGCTATGCTTACAGATAGGCAGCCCAGCAACCTCCATCTGTTTATAAGCAGTACAACATCCCAAGATTTTTGAAAATTATCCTGGAATTTTTTCTGGCAGCATATCATATACTTAGTACAGAGAATTTTAGACTGTCTGAACTGGAAGGGACCTTAGATTCACACTACTTACCAAGAAATGTTTTTGCCATACTGTGCAAGCCACTGGAGGTACAAAGATGAGTATGATATGACAGACTCCTTCCTCTCATGGAATACACAGTCTGCTAAAAAGTATTTAGTCTGGTGTCATTTACAGATGGGGAAGCTGAGGTGTAGAGCAGGGAACGGAGGAACCCAAGGACACACAGTGGGATGAGGGAGAGTTGGGGCTGGAGCCCAGGGCTCCTGGTGCCCCCCACACACCGTTCTTGTCACTGCACTGTGCTTCTGTTTGGCTACCTGTCTTGTCCGGACGTCGGTTCCGGCAGCTTTTCAAAATGTATGCTGAAATTCTTCTGGAATTTTCATGGTATCACTGAGAATATTTGGTGAGTTTTCCCTGCTGTTGTTCCTGTAGACCATTCTGGTCATTCCTGTAGAGCCGGGCTGGTCAGGCCTATAAGACACTCGTTTCCTAGGGGCGTCTGGGTGGCTCAGACAGTTAAGCATCCAACTCTTGATTTCAGCTCAGTCATGATATCAGTGTTGTGAGATTGAGCCCCGTGTCTGGCTCTGTGCTGAATTTGGAGCCTGCTTAGGACTCTCCCTCTCTCTCAGGGAGTTTGGGTGGTTCAGTTGGTTAAGTGTCTGCCTTCGGCTTAGGTCATGATCTCAGGGTCCTGGCATCAAGCCCCACCTCCACCTCCTATCTGCAGGGAGTCAGTTTCTCCCTCTTCCTCTTCCCCACCATCCTCCCACCCCTGCCATGCTCTCTCTCACATTCTCTCTCTCTCAAATAAATATAATATTTTTTGAAAAACGTTCTCTCTCTCCCTCTCCCCCTTCTACCTCCCCAAATAATAATTATTTTATTTTTTTAAGATTTATTTATCTGAAAGTACACACACACACACACACACACACACACACGAGAGAGAGAGAGAGAGAGAGAGAGAGAGAGAGAGAGCGCGCGCGCGCACCAGTTGGGGGCGCAGGGAGAAGAGGCAGAGGAAGAGGCAGACTTCTTGAAAGGGTCTCAGGAATCCATACTGGTCTAGATCATTACCTGTATCAGCTCTCACATCTCTCTCTCTCTCTCTCTCTCTTTTTTTTTTTTAGTAGACTCTATACTCAACATGGGGCTTGAACTCATGACCCTGAGATCAAGAATTGCATAATCTATGGACTGAGCCAACCAGGTGCCCCTTTAGCTCATTGTTACTACAGAATAACCCCATGACCTGGCACACTGATTTAGAGAAGTGTCACATGAAATTATTTTTAAAAAACCCAGCAAGCTAGGAATAACTAAGGCTCTTCCTTTCCAAGAAGCTATACTGGTAAAAATTATTTCTTAGTTTCAAAAACATATTCATAGTATTTGTTGTGGTAGAATACATATAACATAAAACTTACTCTTATTTAGTACATAGACAATGTTCACTGTCTAGTTCCAGAACATTTTTGTTGTTGTCCAAAAAGGAGACTCTCTACTTATTAAAGTAGCCACTCCACACAGGCACCCCAAGAAACCGCTCTGTAGTTTTAAAATTAGTTTTGTTTTTGCTTTTGCTGATCTGCTAATGCTTTGTGGGAGGGTACATTCCCGGGGCCATGAGAAGAGTCAAAGAAAAGAGGAAAAGCAAATGAGTACAATGGATTAGTCTTTAAAAAAAAGAAGGCTTGCAGGGCACCTGGGTGGCTCAGTCAGTTGAGCATCTGCCTTCGGCTCAGGTCATGATCCCAGGGTTCTGGGATCGAACCCTGCATGAGCAGGGAGCCTGCTTCTCTGTCTCCCTCCGCCACTCCCCCTGCTTGTGCTCTCTCGCTCTTTGTCAAATAAATAAATAAAATAGGCTTTATTTTTAGGTCACCAGACTACCATTGTCATGCCTAACGACATTAACAGTATGTATTCTTTTCACTAAGCAGGGACGACAACTTCCAGCAGCCACAGGGGATGCCACTGCTTGGCTGCCATCTGAAACGAGCTCCTTCTCACAAGGTTTTGTGTAGGTTCTGTGCAGCGATGGGGAAACTGCAAAGCAAACTCAAACACAGTACTTACAAATACAGGTACGGCCATCTGACACTGGGATCCCAAGTTTTATCATGTCGCATTAAAATTCTCTACTAAAGACAGAGAAGGCCCAGAGCGATTACTGATGACCTTCCTTGAACAGTTCAGTCTGTTTTCTTTTGGATGAGAAGCAGCTGATTAGCTAGTGTCCTCAGCCCCACAGAGAGGGGCCTGGTATCTTTGGGAATAAGCTCCAGGTGAGCAAAGACTCCTGGCTTCTTGGCCTCAGGATTCCCCTCTATGGGATTCTAGTCCTTCGGCTGTTCTGAGCGTGCTCGGCATTGATAATCCATTTCTGGCAATGGCCTTGGGTCTCCCTTCTGTACTCCTTTCCCAAATTTCTCCTCCGCCTGGCCTCTCCCATAGCCTGCCCCGTCTTCCCCTTACCCCACTGCACTCCATACCCCGGGGACTCTCATTTGCCATCCTCTCTTTAGCAGGCCTGACGGGATTATAGAGGAGAGAATTCAAACTAAAGCTTGTCTGGAGTATAGCCCAGCCCACGCGGGGAGTGTCTCTGTCGTTGCTGCTCTGAACTCAGACCTGTGTGTCTCTGGAGGAAAAGATAAGGTGGGTTTGCTGTGCTTCCCAGGGAACCAGCTAACTGTGGAGAAGGGAAGATGTTGGGGAAGGAAATGCTGGTTCTGCGTTTCTGGCAGCAAGGTTGAGTAGTGTAAAACCATAGGCTTTAGACTAAGGAAGCCTGGCTCTGAGTCCCTGCTCTGCCTCTTCCTGTTCCTCTGGGCAAGTCATTTACTGCTCGTGAGCCTCAGTCTCCACATCCATGGAATGGGGATGAGAATGCCAGCCTCCCAGGGAAGCTGTGAGGGTTTGGTGGTAAGATCTTCAGAGATGTGCCAGACCTCCCACATGCCTCTTATAATTGACAAGTATTATTCTGACCAAGCCATTTTCATACCCACACACAGACAGAGGAGCTAGTTGTCAACAAAAGGAGACTTCCTTGGGGTGCCTTGGTGGCTCAGTCGGTTAAGCATTTGCTTAACCCTAGGATTGCTTAACCCTAACCAACCCTTGATTTCAGCTCAGTTTGTGATCTTAGGGTGGTAAGATCGAGCCCCGCATCAGGCTTCACGCTTAGTGGAGAGCTGGAACCTGCTTGAGATTCTCTCCCCCTCTCCTTTTGCCCCTACCCCTGCTTGTGTGCTCTCTCTCTCCCCGTCTCAAATAAATAAATTAAATAAATAAATAAATAATTTTTTAAAAAGGAGACTTCTAGTCTTTTTTATGCTGTTCTTTTGTCAAAATTTCAACAGTGGTGAACATTATGATTTCTCCCTTTTGTGTTTCTGTCCTTCCTCCCAGTATCAGCTGCATCTGGTTGCTTCTCCCCCCATATTTGCATCGATCACAGGACTCACAGCTAGGACATTGGTAGCAGAAATGTTAATTCTTTTTTTTTTTTTTAAGATTTTATTTATTTATTTGACAGAGAGAGATCACAAGTAGACAAAGAGGCAGGCGGAGAGGGAGAGAGGGAAGCAGGCTCCCTGCTGAGCAAAGAGCCTGATGCGGGACGCGATCCCAGGACCCTGAGATCATGACCTGAACCGAAGGCAGCGGCTTAACCCACTGAGCCACCCAGGCGCCCGAAATGTTAATTCTTTTAATTCCTCTCATTTTCATACTGTATTTCGTGGATTTTTTTTTTTAAGATTTATTTTACTTATTTTAGAGAGAGAGCAGGGGTTGGGGGGAGGAGGAGAGGTAGAGGCAGAATCAGGCTCCTTGCTGAGCTCGGGGCCCACTGTGGGGCCCAATCCCATGAGCCATGAGATCACAACCTGAGCCAAAACCAAGTGTCGGACGCTTAACTGACTGTGCCACGCAGGCACCTGACAAATCTTTTTTTTTTTTTTTAAGATGACACATTTTTTAAATACACAAAAATAGAAGTACAATACAATTAGGAGGGAAAACGCTAATCCCATGTAGACAACCAGAACCTCAGGCTGAGTCTGTTCCCCTTGGGGAGTGTCCTCCTGAACCCATCAATGAGGCTCAGAGCAGTGGCCCATTGCCTTGGAGAGAGACAGAGCACTAGCCAGGAGGAAAGAAAAGAAAGTCAGTGTAGGGGGACAGGATAAGGGTTACAAAATAAAGCCCTAATGCAAGACCCTTGACAGAGAGAGAGAGAAATTAGGTAGATAATGAAGTAAAGGATTGTTTTAGTTAAATAAAAATTTAACTGTAATAAATATTAGAGAGATTCTAATGACTCTCCACAGACAGTGGTGGCCTATAACTGGAAGAGCGGGGATGTGGTGAAAAGGTTCAGAGGACATGAACGAGAGGTCACGAAGGTAATTCTCAAATGATCATTATTGTGGAGGGAAGTTAGAGTGATTGGATATTCATTCTTAAGAAAATGCAAGGGCTTCATCTGATGCGGTAAAGGAAAAGCAGAGTGAACCATTCCCTTAGCTATTGCTAGAGACATATTAGACATGATTTTTATTTTGTCACTGGGCCCTTAATAGCTCGGGTGGTAAATAAAGAATTCTCCCTGTCTATCCTGACTCAACGGGGACAGGTGCTGAAGGCAGCCCGCGTGTTTACTGTAGCTAGAAAATAAGAAATGATAAAATTTATTCATTTATATAATAAATATACATTTATGATAAAATTTATTCACTAATAATTTATTATATATAATAATGATATATGATGTATATAATAACATATAATAATTTATTTGTAAATAAATAAATTGATAAAATCCCTATATTCAGGAACCTTCTAGTCTAGTTGGGGAATTTTTTAAAAAGCCAACAACAGTTAACTAAAAATTAATTTGTTAAAAAAGCATTAGGGGGCAGAGTAAGCTTCCAGCGAAGATGATAGCGAATGCCGGTCCCTACAACTCCCCTCCCTGAAATCCACCCCAAGAACTGATTCTGTCACCTGCACAGCTCCCAGAGCAGGGCAGGGTACTGATGCCCACACGCAGTGCATTCCCACCCCAACAGGGCCAGGGGAGAGCCTCAGGTTCTGACACCCGCAGCCCCAGGCCTGTTGCCCATTTCCAAGTCCAATCCAACAAGCACACCCGGGCTTTTTTCTCTCTTGAGCAGATAGCCTGTATTCATGGATCCAGCCTGTTCTTTAGTGCCTCTCGAGACAGGACAGCCATGATGTGGGACCTTCGTGGCCCCGCCCAGCCAAGGCAACAGTTCTCTGGCCATGCCATGGTGGTCACTGGATTGGCTGTGAGTACAGGTAAAATCAAAGAGAGCCCTACCCAACACTGTTGTATTTTCTTTCGTTCTTTTTTCTTTTTTAAATTTATTTATCAGAGACAGAGAATACAAGCAGGGGGAGTGGCAGGCAGAGGGAGAAGCAGGCTCCCCACTAAGCAAGGACTTGGATGTGGGACTCAATCCCAGGATCCTGGGATCATGACCTGAGCCGAAGGCAGACGCCTAACTGAGTCACCAGGCACCTCTTTTTTTTTTTTTTTTTTTAATTAAGATTGATTATTTTTTTTAAATTTTTTTTAAGATTTTATTTATTTATTTGGCAGAGATCACAAATAGGCAGAGAGGCAGGCAGAGAAGGGGGGAGCAGGCTCCCTGCCAAGCAGAGAGCCTGATGCGGGGCTCGATCCCAGGACCCTGGGATCATGACCTGAGCTTAAGGCAGAGGCTTTAACCCACTGAGCCACCCAGGTGCCCCAAGATTGATTATTTTTAGAGAGAGAGTGTGTGAGCGGATGTGGAGGGGTGAACAGTGGGAGAGGGAGAAGAGAAGCAGACTCCCCACTGAGCATGGAGCCCAACTCAGGGCTCCATCTCACCATCCTGAGCTCATGACCTGAGTCAAAACCAAGGGTCAGACACTCAACCGACTGAGCCACCCAGGTGCCCCCTCGTTGTACTTTCTGAAAAGCCCCATACCAGGCCCATCTCATGGACCATCTTTTTCTTGTTCCCCCAGACTCGTCACAGCTGTGCACTGGCTCCCGGGACAACACCCTGCTCCTATGGGACGTTGGGACTGGACAGTGTATGGAGAGAGCTTCCATCTCCAGGAACCTGGTAGGAACTCAAAGTTGGTAGAGAGTGGGACAGCAGAGGGTCTCTCTGTGAGAGAGATCAGGAGATACACCAGGCAGTAGAGGCTTGACGCCTCATTACTACTTACCCTGAACTCTGTCAGACTCTGGCCTCTCAGGGTTATCAGGCTGGATGATCTCTTTAAAGTCTTCTGCTTCAGGGACGCCTGGGTGGCTCAATTGGTTAAGCATCTGCTTTCTGCTCAGGTCATGATCCCAGGGTCCTGGGATTGAGTCCCACATCCAACTTCTTGCTCAGTGGGGAGCCTGCTTCTCCCTCTGCCTGCTGCTCCTTTGCTTGTCCTCAGTCTCTCTCTCTCTGACAAATAAATAAATAAAATCTTTAAAAAAAAAAAAAAAAAAAAGTCTTCTGCTCCAGAGAACACCTCTTCTAGCTCATACTGGAATTTTAAGTGGTATGTTCAAAATGTGTTTTTCCATATCTGCTGTGCTAAGAGCAGGGTTAGTGGCCTAAGACACCATCCCTGTCCTCTAGGATCTCATAGCTGATGTGCAGAGAAATAAACAGGACCCTTTGCTTTATGTATAATTTGCTGTGTTTATGAAGATCAGTGTTTTCTGGTAGTAGGCTGGTAGATAAACTCCACAGCCTTTGAGGTCAGTCATGCCTGGGTTCAAATTATGGATTCATCACTTTAAAAAATATATATTTGATTTATTTATTTGACAGAGAGAGACACAGTGAGAGAGGGAACACAGCAGGGGGAGTGGGAAAGGGAGATGCAGGCTTCCTGCAGAGCAGGGAGCCTGATGCAGGGCTCAATCCCAGGACCCTAGGATCATGACCTGAGTCGAAGGCAGACCCTTAACAACTGAGCCCCCCAGGCGCCCCCATCACTTTTTTTTTTTAAGTAATCTCTACACCCAACATGGGGTTTGAACTCACAATCCTGAGATCAATAGTCACATGCTCTATCAACTGAACCAGCCAGGCGCGCCCCAAGAGCCATCACATCTTAGCTGAGTTACTCTGAGAAAGTCAGTTACAGTGTCAGTGTCTTCATTTATAAAATGCAGAGAATCCCATGATTTGGCATGACAGGTGTTCCTTTAGTGGGCATTAACTATCACTCGTGGTCATCTTTTCCAGTTTTGAACACAACTGTCCATGGCAGGGTATGGTATGCTCACTCTAGGCCCTCCATATTTGTGGAGGTTGCTAGAAGAAAATTGGGTCGCCTTGGGTTATTTTGAAAACTGTTTCATGTCTGCCCAGCAGGGGGTCATAGGGATGAAAAGAAAGAATGCATCCTGAACCTTGTGAGGCCTTAGACTAGGGTTTCAGTGGTCCCACCATAGAACGGGGGGCTGCTTTCTGTGGCTGCCAGTCACCAGCAGTTCTCCACAACGAGTGGGGTCACCCACATGCATTCTGGTACTCACCACTGGCCCGGCCGCTACCATTGCTGCTGCTGATCCAGGGGCGTCCAGTAGAGCATGAGTTGGGGGCATCTGCAAAGCACAGCCTGGAGCGCCTGGGTGGCTCAGTGAGTTAAAGCCTCTGCCTTCAGCTCAGGTCATGATCTCAGGGTCCTGGGATCAAGCCTCGCATCGGGCTCTCTGCTCCGCGGGGAGCCTGCTTCCTCCTCTCTCTCTGCCTGCCTCTCTACCTACTTGTGATCTCTGTCTGTCAAATAAATAAATAAAATCTTTAAAAAAAAAACAAAAACAAACAACACAGCCTCCCTCCAAGTCGAGTGTACAAGTCAGCATCCTTGAGAAGTGGAGACACACTATTTAGCACGGTTTACAGGAGTTGCCATAGAAGAGCAACTTGGTATGGAGAAGTTTTGAAAATTTTGCTTTTTCCAGGTCACTCACCTGTGCTGGGTCCCCCAAGAACCATATGTACTACAGACTTCTGAAGATAAAACCATCAGGTGGGCTTACTGAGCAGCGATGAAGGTGTTTCTGGTGAAGGTTTGTGGTTCCCAAGCTTATATGACTCCCTTTCCCCTCTGCTTTTCCACACTGCTGTGCCTTCCCAGGGCCTTCTGCACCTTTGCCCCTTGCTGGGGCTGGGGACTCTGACGTGGATCCCTGGGCCGTCTGGGTAGAGGCTGAATGGCAGGAAGTCAGGCCAGGAAAGAGGCCCTGTCCTGGATGGTTCTGAAGCAGCTGACTCTGACCCCCCCCTTGCCCCCCCCCCCCCCCCCACCGGTGTGAACACAGTCAGACTGAGCTCAGTCCCGGTCATGGCTTGCCCCCGTTTTGAACTGACTGCCCGGCTCCATTTTCCTCCCCTACTGGGGGCCGGATGTTCTCAAGCACCCAGCCCTCAGGGGAAGCCTTGTCTGGGCCAGTGGGGTCGGATCCCCGTCAGGAGAGTCAAATAAAGTGAACTGTTGAGTGGAAAGCACAACAAGAAACTCTGGATCTCAGAAGAGATTCACTCTACTCAGAAAACAGGAAGAATGAGGTAAAGAGGTGGAAAATGAGACGAGAAGCTGAATAAAACACTCTGTGGACCCCACGGCCCAGTAGGCCAAGGCCTGCAAGTCTTTTGTATCTGATTCTGGAATGGTGATGGCTCCTCTGGATCCTAATAACCATCTTTTAAAGCAATTAAGTCACAGGCACAGAAATATCCTCTTGTCCTTTGAAAGCAGTATCCTAAAGGGCCAAATTAACAAATTAACTTGTACGGTAAAGATGCTTGGTCTAAATTCCTATTAAGTGGGTCTCAAAATAGAAAGAACTCAGATGGCATTGTTTGGTTATTTCCTGGCAGCTTTGGTGTCTCCGAGGTCGATCTGGTTCATCCTCCTGTTTTTAGGTGAACCGTGACATTCCATCTGACTGGCCGGAGCCGCGGAGAGCCGCGGTTTACTTTCATGGGTCTGTCAGATACATTTACCACAGGCTCATTGCTTCATTTCTTGCAGGTTATGGGATAGCCGGGGGCTACAGGTAGCTCACGTATTTCCCGCAAAGCAGCATATTCAGACCTACTGCGAGGTCAGTGAGGACGGACACAAGTGTGTCTCCTGCAGCAACGGCTTTGGAGGGGAAGGCTGTGAAGCCACGGTGAGTGATTGTCGGTGTCTGGGGGTCTGGTTGCTGATGAGCAAAGTGCTTCCTCTGACCTCCCGTCTATCCTGGGCTCCACCAGGCCAGCTCTGCTAATAGCTCAGGCCTATTCCGAGTGCATACTGCAAGTGAGCCTTTGCACTCCAGATGCATCTCTCAAGAAACCTCCATTAGCTTTGGGCTCTCTGAATTGATAGTAGACAGAGGCATGGGATGAGAGTCAAGATAGGAAGGTGCTAAACACAGAACCAGCTTGCTAATGTCCCTACTTCCGGCAGAGCTTAGAGAGGGGAGGGACTATTTGAAGAGCCAAGTGTCTTCTCACTGTACTTGTGGTCATGGTACAGGAGGCTCAAGCTCTTCAGGGAGTCTTAGGCACCAGTGTTGGTCAACGGCCCATCCCAACCCTTACCTATATACCTTTCCTTGCACGTAATTTTGGATTACATTGCATTGTATCTCTAAAGTACCTCGGATTCCTCACTGTAGAATATAGGCTAAGAGGGGCATCTGGTCCAAATATAACAATTAGAGCTCCCATTGAACCAAACAGTTCATGCTGGGCACTGGCCTGAGCACATTACATGCACTGTCTCATCTAATCCTTACAACAACCTCGTGAATTAGGTTCTATTATAATTCCCATTTTACAGATAAGCAAACAGAGGCGTGGCAAGTTGAAGTCTCTTGCACAAGACCACACCTCTAGTAAGTGGTGCACTGAGGCACTGAATCCCAGGCTATCGATGTAGCACCTCTTCCCCAAGCTAAGCATTTCCAGCCCCTACAACTGATGCGGTGTCCTGTGGTTTCATTATTTTTCGGATACAGTTCAGATCACTCTCCTCTCTGGATGTTGTTCTCCTGAATTAACATGGTGCCCAGTGACTTCATTATATTTTGGACACAATTCGGTTTGCTCTCCTCCCTGAACCTTGTTCTCTAGCTGTGGTCTGATTGTGTCAACAAGAGTGTAATTGGCAGGATTGTCACCTCCTTTGTTGGAGGGTCTCATCTTCATATACCAAGGTTCAGCATGGAGGCCATCAGTCAGAAGGTCTGCGCCTCTGTGTGCTTATGAGAAGGTGCTCCTAACTATGGGGTCTGCACAGAACCCACAGGCCAAGAGACCGAGCTGTGCTAGAAAGTAGGCACCCCCTGGGTGCCTGGCCGGCTCAGTCAGAAAAGCATGAGACTCTTGATCTTGGGATCATGAGTTTGAGCCCCACATGGGGTGTAGAGATCACTTAAATAAATAAAAAACTTAAAAAAAAAAAAAAAAAGTAGGCAATGCCATACTGTCCCATCATGCTGTAGGACTTGGAGCTTTCACTTCCCCAGCCCTGACATTAATGAGGAAGGCAGCAACCCTCCCTGCACACCCTTACCCAGGGTTGTTTGAGATCGTTGATGTTTAAAATAATTACAGATGGGTGGGTGATTTGGTGTGTGGATGGGATGGATGAAGACGAGGGGTAGCTACATGAGGAGGTAAGTGGGGGACACAGGTGGATCAGTGAGGGCAGCATGTGTGAAGCTGGGGAAATATGTGTGTATGAGCTAGCCTATGTCATTCCTCTAACAGCTGTGGGACCTAAGGCAGACACGAAACGGAATATGTGAATATAAGGGGCATTTCCAGACTGTTGCATCCTGTGTCTTTCTACCAAGAGCACTGGCCTCGATGCCTATAATTGCTACCTCATCCCATGACTGCAAAGTGAAGATTTGGAACCAAGACACTGGAGGTAAGGAGCCTGCTGGTGGTGCTTCTCAAAGACACATGGTGTCCTAAAAGCATCCTTGAAACTCTCTCTTTCCATTGCTCAGCCAATACAAAGACAGCCATGTTCTGCCACTCTCCAGGCCCCTAGTGGTTAAGAGATGACACTAAGATACCAGGATTCTGTTGAACCTCTGGCTAGAGGCCCTCACTGCCTGAGCCCCACTACCACATTGTACAGACTCGCTCCTGAGAGCTCAGATATATTTGGTTCTTACTGTTCTTGCTACCCGAATTTCTTCATCAGGTTTTAGCGTGTGATGCTCAAAATGCCTGGCAAAGGAGACAAGGATTGTCATTTTCAAATTCATTTTTTAAGGACTAAAAATGAGAGTCTCCGCTCGTGGTGGGGGTGAGGTAGAGTAAGCATTGTCTACCCAGACTGCCCTGTCTTGATGCTACAGGTCAGGTTTGAGATCCCAGTCAGGTCATGAACTCCAAAGATCCAGAAAAAAAGATGTTTTAGGGAACACAGCTCCCCCAAGTCCTCAGTGAAGTATGCCAGAGCCCACTGCTACTGGCTGATTGTTAAATATTCAGGAATATCTAATATGGTCATAGTGAGAATATTTTCACCACAAAAGGTGGCAAATGCTATGAGTAAAGGTGGCTGGTTTTTTCTTCCAGAAAGTTGCCTTACCAGCACCCCACTGCCTTCAGACTATTTTGTGCTGGACCTGGGGTTCTGTTGGACATAGGAATAGTGTTAAAGAATCTCACAACAAATCCCTCCTATAGTTATGTTCCAGAAACTCAGCTCCCAGCAGGGAAGGATAGGGTAGCCCACTCAGAGAAAAGATGTGAGATCATGTCTATGGTTCGTGAGCCATACCTCCCTAGGGAGGACAGCCCTACTGTGCCCCAGCTGCCCCGTGGAACAGCTGTGGGAGGTGGGGAGAGCAGCTGCGTGTCAGGTTCAATGTTGATAAGCCTGACACCAGGGAGAACAAGGTCTGAAAGTGTTGCCCTGCCCTCCAGCTGCGCATCTGTAGGGTTCTCAAGGGTGACAGGGACGGACGGAGACCGGGGCAGCTGGAAGCCCCCAGACTCCCCTTCAGGTCCCAATCTCCTTTGTCGTGAAGGGAGCAAGACCCCAGAAGCCAGCAGCTGAAGATCAGCATTGTCTGTTTTCCTCTGCTGTGGTCCCCACTCTGTTCTCTGGGCAAGTGGGAACTGAGGGCCACGTGTTCCCACGTCTTTGCAGGCGAGGCCCCGGCTGTCTGAACAGGCTTTTAAGGGATACACACCTTGTTTGGGCCACGTGCCATTCTCTGGAGTTGAAGCCTTGTGGCTGCCTGGACTTTCACCTCCCCACAGGTACACAGTCCTCTGGAGCAGGCGATGAGGCTCTTACCTGGGTTGGACACAGAGCACATGCTTTGCTTACACGGGTTTCTCAGAGACCTCATGTCCCGTGACCCTGAGCCCTTGGTCTGAGCTGCTGGTTCCCTCTTCCCCCCACAGCCTGCCTGTTCACCTTGTCCCTGGATGGATCAGGACCCTTGACTTCCCTGGCTGTTGGTGACACCATCTCCTTACTGTGTGCAAGTTTCAGCAAAGGAATTCACCTGCTCAGAGTGGAGCGCAGCCGAGGGCTGGAGCTGCAGGAAGTGGCAGCCTTCTGAGGCCAGGAGGCACGCACTGGACAATATCAAACGTGGCCCGTCCTCACTCCATGTGGCTTTGTGTTTCCCTGTGATCTTGCAGGGAGGGCTATGTGGGATTCTCTGCTTCCGTCCACTCAGAAGGTCTATCAGGGTTCGAGGCCAACGTAAGCCCAGGTGCAGCTTAGAAACACAATAGGTCTCTGTCTGAGAGTCCGAACATGGGGTGGAGTGTATCAGACTGACCTATGTCTCCACAGAAGAAAAAGCTGCTGGGGGAGAGACTGTTTGGGTGGCCTCGCAGTTACCCAGACGGGAGAGGGGAGCGCCGCTCCATAGAGGACATGGGTTGTGGACGTGACATTCTGCTCTAGTCACTGCTCCTCCGCAAGGTGAGGAAGTCTAGGCTTCTGCTGGGAGGGGCCGCGAGTACAGGTGGCGTGTCCCAGACCAGTGCATGAAAATTAGACCCCAGGGGGCTTGAAAAGGCTGACCACAGCAGGGCCTTGCCCTGAAGCCGAGTTGTCTCACTTGTTTTGTGCACAAGGAAGTGGAGAGGTTCCAGAGATTAAGGCTAAAAGAAAGTCATTTGTACATTTTAGTATTTTTTATGTCATTTTATATAAACTCTCTTAGGGATGGCCAGTATGAGGCCAATGGAAGTCTTCGACAACCGTAGAATGTAGATGGGCGCCTGGGGGGCTCGGGCAGTTGAGCATCCAACTCTTGATTTCAGCTTGATTGATGATCTTGGGTGATGGGATCGAGACCCACATCGGGCTCCATGCTCAGCAGGGAGTCTGCTGGAGATTCTCTCTCTAAAATAAATAAATAAAATCTTAAAAAAAAAAAAAAAAGAATGTAGAACAGTGGGACAGACTCAACTGTAGGCCAGCTCCTTGGTGAGGAGGGACTCGGTGCTCAGGCCAGCCTGTGCGGCCCCCAGGACATCTATCCCCGGCATGGTGCTCACATGCCCATTTTCCTTCCAGGAAGTTAGAGTCCGCCCAGTCTTCAGGAGATCCCACACATAAAGCAGCGAGTCCTAGCCAAAGACTTCCGCACTTTTGTCTTCTCTGGCGCCTGCCTGTCCCTGATACCAGCAGCTGACAGCCATCGTCCTTGTATCCCTCCTGCACCTCGTAGGGCTGGCTTCCCTGTAGGAGGATCCGAGTTTGAATCTCCACATTCAGCTGAATGATCTCGGCTGTTATAAAATCTCAGTTTCCATACTAATTAAATCGTATGTTCCTCATAGTGCTGCCCAAGCACCGGGTAAAAGTGTTTTTTTTTTTTTAATTTTATTTATTTGACAGAGAGAGATCACAAGTAAGCAGAGGGGCAGGCAGAAAGAGAGGGGAAAGCAGACTCCCTGCTGAACAGAGAGCCCTACAACGACAACATGGGGCTCCGCAGGACCCTGGGATCATGACCTGAGCTGAAGGCAGAGGCTTAACCCACTGAGCCATCCAGGCGCCCCCTGGGTAAAAGTGTATTGAATGCCAAGCGAGGAAGTGGGTGCTTACAAAGGCTGGTCATAGTCGTTTATTGCTCTCTGTCGGGACTAAACACTCCTCTTCTCTCACTAAACACATTCCTTCTCACATTCTCCTTAGATCTTACTTGTAAAGCTTTAGTCCTTGTACGGCTTCCCTTTGATTCCTTAGGTTATGGATCTTTGAGCTCTGGAAGGACAGGGGAGTGGTGGGAGAGGAGCTCCTTCCCAGAGAAGCTACAGCTGGCTGAATACGCTTATTCTCACTACAGTCTTCGTTATCCCAGGAGGGGAAGGAGGAGGCTGAGGCCCAGGGACATTCAGTCCTTTGCCCAAGGTTACACGGGGAGGTGGGAAGGGGGAAGAACTGAGATTTGACAAGCAGGGATACCACTGTACTAATGAGGAAAAGAGAGATTTGAATTAGGGACTACCTGACTCAAAGCCAGAATATCTTCCTTCCCACTCCTTTGTCTTCGCATGATGTCACAGAGTTCATTTTAGAAATTCGTAGGCCATGACACTGTTTGTGTATTTTCTAGACCATTATTAACTTTTCCATCCCAAGGAGATCCTTCTGGCCAGGGGCCCAGAAACAGTACACAGATATCTCCGGGAAAATCCTAGCATATCCTGAACCATTAGTGCTACAGCTGACCCTTGTAGCAAGGGGCAGGCGGTAATCAGAAAATCCAAGGGAGTGGGTTGGGAGGGCGTCCCAGAGAAAGGGAACAGAGGGAATGTACATGTGAGAAAGGGTTCTATTAGCAATGAAATTATTTCCCTAAACTCTACGCATTTGTTTGATGTAAAAATTCCTTTTCTGGGCTTCTTTTTTTTTCTTCTTTTTGAGATTTTATTTACTTGACAGAGACACAACGAGAGAGGGAACACAAGCAGGGGAGTGGGAGAGGGAGAAGCAGGCTTCCCATGGAATGGGGAACCCAACAGGGTGCTTGATGCCAGGACCCTGGGATCATGACCTGAGCTGAAGGCAGACCCTTAACGACGGAGCCACCCAGGTGCTCCTCCTTTTCTGTGCATTTTAAGTGGAAAACAGATTAATAAATGCAAATGTTTATATAGGTTTTTTCAGGCTTACATGCCCCAATCAGGTACTCTCAGCACCTAAGCTACCAGCTACTGAAATGCATTAATTTGCTCACTGGACATTCACTGAACACTTCATTTTAAAGTCTGCCCCTGTAAAATCATATAGAGTTACTTTCCAAAGGCAGTTGACCTTTTTTCCCAGGAAAGTATATAATCCCTTGGAATCTGGCCAATTATATATTTAAAACTTAAAGAAATTTATGTATTTACTTATATAAGTTAAATATATTTGCACCTGACTGGCTCAGTCGGTGGAGCGTATGACTCTTGATCTCGGGGTTGTGAGTTCAAGCCCTACATTGGGTATAGAGATACTTAAAAATATAAAACATATATACACATATATATTTCAGGAAAATGTTTCATGATTATTCTTTTTTTTAAGATTTTATTTATTTATTTATTTATTTGACAGAGATCACAAGTAGGCAGAGAGGCAGACAGAGAGAGAGGAAGGGAAGCAGGCTCCCTGCTGAGCAGAGAGCCCAATGCGGGGCTCAATCCCAGGACCCTGAGATCATGACCTGAGCCGAAGGCAGTGGCTTAACCCACTGAGCCAGTCAGGCGCCCTGTTTCATGATTATTAACACCTTTTTTTGGGTGGGTGAAACTATCTTACAAGAGGATCTTTGATTTTACCAAAAGGTTAAAAATGATCTGGAAAAGATACAATTTTGAATGCTACTTTTTCACACATAATCCAGGCTGTCTATAATTTAAGTCCCAATTTGTATTCAAAATATTTTTTTTCTTGAAAATAGCTACCAGCCGGGGCACCTGGCTGGCTCAGTCAGAAGAGCATGTGACTTGATTTCAGGGTCCTGAGTTTGAGTCCCACACAGGGTGCAGAAACTACTCAAATAAACAAAACTTTAAAAAACAGGGGCATCTGGGTGGCTCAGTTGGTTTAATGTCTGTCTTCAGCTTAGGTCATGATCCTAGGGTCCTGGGATGGAGCCCCATGTTCGGCTCCCTGCTCAGCGGGGAGTCTGCTTTTCCTTCTCCCTCTGCCCCTTTCTTGTGCTCCCTCTCTTGTTCTCTCTCAAATAAATCAATAAAATATTTAAAAAAAAAAGAAAAAGCTTTAGGGGCGCCTGGGTGGCTCAGTCATTAAACATCTGCCTTCGGCTCAGGTCATGGTCCCAGAGTCCTGGGATTGAATCTCACATTGGGTTCCCTGCTCAGCAGGAAGCCTGCTTCTCCCTCTCTCATTCTGTGTTTGAGCTTGTGTTCCCTCTCTCGCGGTCTCTCTCTCTGTGTCAAATAAATAAATAAAATCTAAAAAAAAAATTTTTTTTCAAAAAATAAAATAGCTACGAGCTATTAAAGTATTGTGATACAGTGGGTATCACTGGTATCACAAAAGTATCAGACAAGTCGCCATTATCATTCTCTTTCTGAACAATGATTTTTAAAGATTTTTTACTTAAATTCTAGTTAACATACACTGCGATACTGGTTTCAGGAACAGAATTCAGTGATTCATCACTTGATATCTGAGCAATGATTACTAAAGAAACTTCCCCAGGGGTTTTGAGTTCACAGTCACTAAAGAAATACTTCCTGATCTCCCAGTTGACAGTAGCAGAAATTTCCAGTCTGTAACAGCCTTGATATTGACACAGGAATTACAAGTATAGAACTCAGGTCAGTTCGTGTTTTTAATATTTCAACACTGTGAAAAAAGAACTTAGCTATTTCTAGTAGCCTTGTGAAAACAGAATGAGTGAAGAAAAGCTTCATCGTGAAAAGTGCAGCAGACGGCAACCCGTTTCCTGAAGTTGGCCCACTTTGGCCCAGGCTGCCCCGCTAAGCCTCCATTCCCAGCTAGGCATGGCCATGAGCATAACTTCTTGTCAGTGGATTGTGAGTGGAAGTGATGTGTGTAACTTCTCTTTTATTAGCTCCAAAGGAATGTGTTTGTCTGGGATTAGCCCTCTGGGTCCCTTCCCACTAGTTGGAATGCAGACCACCAGTAAGAGCTTCAGCTGTGCAGATAAGGACAAGATGATGGACAAACAAGAGAGGAGCCCTGAAGCTAGACTGTGACCTGAGAGAGAAATGGGGGAGGGGCAGAGGGAGAGGGACAAGCAGACTTCCCACTGAGCAGAGAGCCCCACATGGGGCTCGATCCCAGGACCCCGAGATCACGACCTGAGCCGAAGGCAGACGCTTAACCAACCAAGCCACCCAGGCGCCCATGAACTTCATTCTTTTAAAGCCACTATATATAATTTTAACTTTTCACTCAACGATCACAATCATAAACAATTTCAGATGCCTTAAGTTTAGAGCTTGCTGATTTTCCACAAGCTGAACACACTCTAGCAACCAGAACCTAGATGAGGAAGTATAATACATCCTGGAGCGCAGATGGTCTCCCTCATCTTCCCCTCCAGGCCTAGTGGCCAAG